GTGCAACCTTCTACGGTTCTCGCTCCATGAATGCCGTGACTGGAGCCCAACCTCCACCTAAGGTAGAAAATGAGCTTGATAAATTGCAATATGGGTAGGTGTCAAACTGAAGAGGCTAAGGAAACTTTACTACCGAAAATATTTTTGAAGGGGGTTGCTACGTGTTTGAAAAATTTTATTCAATAAAATAGATGAAATAAATTAAAGATTAAAATATTAGTATCAAACAACACAAAAATACTTTTAGGATGCCGTGTGACCAGCACGCTAGTAATAATTAAAAGTTGGTTTCACCCAAGTAAATAATTATATTATTTTAAAACCGATTTTTAAACAAAAACCACAAAAGCATATTGTTCATTTTTGGGATTACAAACAACTTTAACAACTTTTTTACGTGACTTGCTTTGAGATTCTAGGCGTGAATAGGAAATGTATTTCTTACATAGTAATTAAAACCGACTTAATATATATTAAAACTTTAAAAGTAGTGTCAGAAATCTATAAGCTGTTGTTTAGAAACAAAGAAACATATTTTTTATGGCCACCGCATATGTACCTAAACATAGTCTCATAATCTAATTCGGATGTTTCAATATTTTTTTGTCATCATTTTGTTATCACAATTTCGTGTACACTTTGTACAAAAACAACATATCTACTAATTACTTTCTGTTTCATAAAAAAAAAACTTTTTTTTATTTTAGGTTTAGCTATGAGAAAGCTTACCACACAACCAGTAGTAAATTAAAACACACAAAAAAAATTAGTTGTATAAAAACAAAATAATAAAAAAGGGTTAAATAAAGTTTAATGTGTGGCTAGCAACATTTAAGAAATAAATAAAAACATGGTCTGAAATACTCAACACTTTTATTATTTATTTACATACAAAGAGTTGCAAAACACCGAAAATGAAATTTGTAAATTTGTAAAAACAAAAGCAATTAAGTTACCTTGTAAGTAATAAATATTCATTTATTAAGGGCATTTTGAAAATATTTAATTTAGGCGCAAAGTTAAATTTAAACCTTCACCGTAGAATTTAACTTTAAACCAACATTATGTAATATATATATTTAAAACTATATACATTCTACATGTAGATTCCATGACGTTCAGGCAGGCGCACAAAACTCATAAATTTAGTTTTTTTTTCATTTCGCCTAGTTTGGTTATAAACTAGTTTCATACATATTTTTTTTTAACTTTTCGATTTTTGTTTTTTTTTGATGAGAATAAACTTCGGAAGCAAGGACGACAACCATGCCACCCGCTTTGCCGTGAGTTTACCCCGCAAACTAAAAACAATATTTCTTTAAAAAAATCTCGAAACTTATTTCAGCTAAACAACCAACGAGTGAGTGTAGTGTAAAGCGTATTTTTTTTTTGTTTAAATATTTTAAATGATATAAATATTTCATCATTAAGTTTCTGCTTCATAGGTTAGTAGCTTTGGCAAAGTTTTTCTCATTCCACTTATTAAATAAGTTAGTTGTATGAAGCAGTGAGTCACTTTCTTAAAAATTAAATAAAATATTTTTTTCTTAAAAAATTTCATGCTAGAGTTTTTTATATACTATACATATCCATATCTCATTACGCAAGCGTGCAGTTCATTCAATTTTTATTTAGGAAATACAAATGCAATTTATAAACTATCTTTTCGGAGTTTTTCCATTAGTTTATATAGCTGAATTAGTTATTTTAAATTTTTATTAAGTTAGTTAATTTCTTTTTTTTTGTACTGTTAATTACATATTTCGTTTACTTGCTTATTAGATTAACTTTCTTAAAACTGCTTAGATATAGTTTTACATTTTTTGCGTTGTACATTTTCAGTTGGTAACTACTCGTATCCTCTATTTTTTTTCCTTTGCTTTGGTTGCATTTGTATATGTGTAGGTTATAATTAAGCATGTATTTACACACATATGTAAATATATATTTTTAGCATGTTGCATTGTAATTATATTATTAGGCGGGTTCTGCAATACACTTCCTGCCAATTTAAATTCAAAGCGAATTTGATTGAAATTCACTCGGAAGAGAATTGCAGATCTGGCCCACCTGTTCATACATTAAGGCTGTTCTAGTTTGTATGGACCAATTTAAAAATTCGTTTTTTGTTGAGCGCTGACTAATAATAAGAATTTTAAGTCAATCGGTTAACATTTTGATTGGAGCGAAAATTGTTTAAAGTTGTCAAAACTTTTTAACTTAATTAAAAGCACAGCAGTTTTTTATAAATTTCGAATTTTATTGTAAACACAGCAGCAGCAATTTTTGTAGCCCATTCCATTTTAGTGCAGTAAAGTCCAAGCTTCAAGTCGCTAAAAAATACCGTTGATTTTTTAGAGTTTTTTTTTTTGTGGAGGGTGTTGCGCATTTTCTTCCATATAACGCATGACTAAAATCTATTTTCATATAAAAAAAAAATCCACAACACCCACCCCCCCGACTCCCAGACAAAAAAAAAAATTAATAAAACCAACTTTACTAGACCAAAATTGAATGGGCTAAAAAATTGCATACCCGAAAATTTTCTAAATAATCTAATTAAAAATTTTGAAATTTTGTTGACATTTTTTTTTTTAGTTTGATTAATTTTTTTTAATTTGTGCAAGCTTTGAAACTTTTATATACATTCCGTTGCATAATTATAAGTCCAGTACAAAAGTTTTTGAAACAGCCGTCACAATTAAAATAGTTAATGAGGTTGCTTTGTCGTCGCCACATACATATATGAAACTATTTTTTGTGCTATTTTTGAATTGAAACTAGATTCAAACAATGCACCTAATGTTAAAATTGTTTAACATTTTGCGAAGACTTGGCGCGAAACTTAACCATCTCTCGATTTACTGTAAGTCTTTCAGAAAAAAGCAACAAATATCTGGGCGGCGCCCGTTGAAATTTGGATTTGTAAAAATAAGGACAACCCTAATGTACATACATATGTGTTTGCATAAGGGCATGTTTTTGATTAAAGTTATTATAAATTAATATTTTATTTATACTCGATGCAAAGTAGCAGAAATTTTAACAGAAAGGCATGCAAATTAGGAGCATAAATTGTAAAAAAAAATATGGAAATGAAATTTGATTATATTTGATGCAGAAACTTGGACTACTGATTACCTCAGTAATATGTTCGCTATTATAGCCGCTCAAGGAAAAGAAAGGTTAGGTGAATTAACCGTATAGTTAATGCTGTGACATATTTACTAGACCTGAAATTACAGCGAGCGATACTTAGTCTTGGTTTTTTTCATTACTGAGGTATTATGATTATATATAATTAAAAGTTAGAAACTGCTTCGGTATTCTCAAAGAAACTGTTGCAAGGAAAGCCGGGCTAGTACCAGCACAGGTTAACTAAGTGAAGATTTTGCATCTTGAGGCATATATGAGAAGAAGCCATATTGACATGTCTGGGAACAATCTATGTTGTTGGCGAAACGATATCACCGGACAGAGGGCGAGTGGAAATGCCACTCACTATAACTGTGCTTTAGTCTTGGACAGATTAATCAAACTTTGTTTAGTCTGGAGAAAACATTCACGGCCACATTGCTGCATAGTTTCCGGTTTTAGGCAAAAACTATTTTTAGACTAGTTGGCAGAAGGCCCGTTTTGTTGTAAGCTATTTTTATTCACCTTACAGAAGAAACAGCTTCCAAAGCCAATTTTCATCTAAGTTCTAGCTTAGAGGAACATAACGGTACCAACTCGGATATAAAAGATCTGACAGCAGTCACTACTATTTGCTGTAGAAACAAGAAATCTGAAGTGCATTCATCGAAATAGGGACACGATATCGGACCGAAAGTATCGATACTCATTTAAAGTATCGCTGTAAAAAAAATATCGGCTACCCATTAATATCGGGATAAAAAGACTCGATATTTCAAATGTCGATCGATACCAAATTCCAAAAATTAAATCTGACTATTGGCTTCATTTTCTAATAAAGAATGACCACTAAGCACTTCAATAAATGTTTGCTTATGTAGAGGTAAGTGTGTTTATTAACATAATCGAAGGCGCGGGTTAAAATACCGCCATATGCCAACCTAAGCTCTTTAAAGCCCAAAATATATCCGTATTGCTTTACATATAAATTCTAAAGTATAGACAGCAGAAGGTCAAAAGGAATCGCTAGGTGAAGCTGAAGCCAAAATAAAAAAATATATATACTCGAGATAAAATTCATGTTTTATTTGCATAAGCGATTTTTTTATGAATTATTTTTTTAATTTTTTAACGCTTAGTTCAAAATAAGCCATATATTTTTAATTAAGAGAAATTTTTGAGTTTTTTGTATATATGCATATATGCATTTGTATGTTAACCTTAATTTCTTTGACATGCTTTCTTGTCTGCGCATCGCTTTTATTTTATTTTAATAATCAACTTTTATTCAAAATATTCTGCATCTAATGCAAGAAGGTGTTTTACGGTTATATTTACTATATTTACTACACACATATATCTACATACATTATAAGTTATATATTTTTATATAATACTTATTTTTAATAGATATGTACGTCTATTTATGCAATGCTTTTTTGTGATACATATAAGCGACTGTTAACTAAATGTTTGCTTGACCTGCTTGACCGCCGCTGCATAATCAGCTGCATGACAATTTGCAAATTTATCTATGTTTATTAAAATATTCGCATACTAACCAAAAACAATCTGCTGCTCGCTTTCGCTATTCGCATTCGCATTCGCTTTTGATGTTGCATTCACTACTTATTTGATTGAGTCTGCTTGTCTGCTTGGCATTACTTTTTACCTGCTTGACCCGTTTTTAAAATGCTTGAACAAAGAGTTTTTTTTTTATGCGAAAAATTGCTTACACCAAAATCATCATAACCGATACTGAAAA